CCAGCTCCAGCTTGAGGGACACCTTGGCCAGCGCCGCTTCCAGCTGGCTGCCCGCCAGGCTGGCCTCCACCCTTGCCGTAGCCGATCCAGGGGTCAGAGTAGCCGCGCGCGCCCTTGGCCAGGAAGTAGCCAGGAGGAGGGAACGCCATAGCCATATTGCACAAAAGGGACAGCAGCAGGCACACCAGGCAGAGGTGAATGGCAATGCTTGCACCACTGGGCCGAGAGCGCGTTCTTCCCGCATCCACAGGCCGTGCACCGAGAGGTAGAAACTCGAGGTGGCGGCGGCGGAGGAGCTGAAGTCCCCTTCCCGTTGACAGTGTTCCACGCACCATGCCAACTGGGAGCAGGCGCCATGGGCTGGCTAGACGGACGCTTTGTGTAATCGTCTTGGGGAGTGCTCCAGCAGGAGCTCACAAATGCAGAAACCCTCGTCTGACCAGGCACACGAGGGGATACGTGGGAGCCGTCGCTCCCCCTTGCCACAAAGGTCAGGTCCTGAGCCGAATCGCTACGGACTTGAGCCAAAAAGGCTACGGACAGCGTTTCGTGCCCCCTTAGTGAGCTCCACCGAAGCCCCCAGTGGGACCGTCCGCATGCGCCCCCGAAGCCCAATTTGGCATTTTCACCCACCCAGTACAGCGTTTCGTGGCCCCATAGGGAGTTCCACCGAAGCCTCCAGTGGGACCGTCCGCATGCGTCCCGGACACGCCCAATTTGGCATTTTCACTTACCCAGTGCAGCGTTTCGTGGCCCCATAGGGAGCTCCACCGAAGCCCCCAGTGGGACCGTCCGCATGCGTCCCGGAAACCTTACTTGATACACCATTCACCCCGAACAGCGTTCCCCCCCACCCAGTGCAGCGCTTCGTGGCCCCATAGGGAGTTTCACCGAAGAAGATTTTCACTATTGCGGTACCCACAACTGCATATGGTTGGGTCCTTCGCCAGGATAATTTTTGCTGTAGGCGACTGCACAGCCAAGCTTCCGCAGAGATTGACAGGAAGGCAAGAAGAAAAGGACCCACCCGCAAGCGCAGACTACTTCGAGCCTAGCGCGCCGCGAGTGCCAGTCGTTCGGTCAGCGCCGAGCTGCACTCAGCAAGGCGAGCACAACTGGCATCAGCGACACCGCGGTAGAGGCTCCCTCCTCCCGCAGTCGCAACGCCGCGCTGGCTACAGGTGTTACAAGCCAGGGCTGCAGGCGGAGTGCGGAAAGAACGCACTCACAGTTAGCAAAGCAGCGGAAAATATCAAATTGATCCTGCAGAGAGCCGCAAATGTGCTCCGCAGACGCCGCCCCATCCGCCGCCTCAACCTCAGGAGGCGGCTCCCGAAGAGTGGCCGCCTCAACCGAGGGAGGTTGAGATAAACTCGCGCCAACGACAGGATCACTTGCCACGCCATGTGTGTGGCCAACGTCCGTAGGGATAACGGCCACACACGGCCGGCGCACAACATCTATGTATGATGTAAGTGACGATCCCGCCGCCTCGACCGCAGGAGACGGCGGCGGCAAGAAATCATCACCAATTGCCGCGGGCTTTGCAAACGAACTCGCCGCCTCAACCGAAGGAGGCTGCGACAAACTGGTATTCTCGACTCCCGCGCCCGCCGCCTCAACAAACGGAGGCAGCTGCAAATGATCACCAAATTTTGGGACAAGTGCTTCATCAACCCGACTGGGAAGAGCCTCCAGATCCCACTCACTGCCGCCGGCGATGTCGGACTCACCAGCCGACGCTGTCAACATGGAAAGGGGCACCTCAACAGACGGCGCAACCTCCTCTGCACGGACAGCTCCTGAACAGTCAGAGCACACCAACGGCATGACGTAAGTGCGAGCTTTGGGCGAGGAGTAGTTAACTCCATGGCGAGCCTCGTCAAATGGAAGTTCAGCCTCAAATGTAAGAAGTGAACACGCTGAGCGAGCCCCAAAATGGGTCTCAGCCCAAACCGCATGTTCTTCCAAAACTGCCTTGATGTGGCCATCGGATGCCGCTGGGCGTCTGGAAGAAGAAGCGTGAGGTAAGTTCTGCCCAGGCCTCTTAGGTCGACGCCGACGGCGTGAACGATCACTGATGAAAACTCCTGAGCCTGGGCTTTCACTTCCGCCTCCTCGGCGGGGTGCGGACAATCCTGACAGGTGGCGGCGGGGTCGGCACCGTCGCAAACATGCCACCTCCCCCCGCCACGCGTGTACAATCCGCAGCCCTCGACCTTGCCCGTGGAACTGGCGGCGGCGGCGGTGGCAGCTGCAACCCTGCCGCAGCACCGCCCTGCGCTGTCGTCGCTGCAGGCGGAGGCGGGGGCCATTGCTTCAGACCCTGCCTTGCCTCCAAAGAGCGGGCGTCCTTGGCCTTCTTCTTGACCTTCTTCCGCCGCTTGCGCTGCCTGGGGCGCTTCGCCGCCTTGTCCGCCATCGGCGCAGCAGGCGGCGCCAATACCAACTTCACTCTCGGAGCTGGCGCCGGCAGCGGCGGCCTCTTGTGCTGTCGAGGAGGACGTGCGAGCTCTGGGTCGACGCGGGCGAAAGCGGAAAGTCCTGCGGTGGCTCCGCCGAGGCCGCTGCCTCCAGGCGGCCCCACCTCCGCAAGCGCTTCACTGGCCTCAGCGTCTCCTCCGGCTCCTCCTGCTGCTGCAGCGCACGCTGGCTGCCGCCATTGCTGAGCTCCCTGTCCACCACATCGAAAGGGCTCCAAATGCCAGGCGGTGGCAACATGGGCATGGAGCGCGGCAGCATCTCCTCCTCCTCCTCCTCCTCCTCCTCCTCCTCCGTCGAAGATGACGAGCTCGATCCCGTCGACGGGGATACCGATGGCATGCGCGAAGTCATGTAGACGATCACCGAGCGACGTGCCCAGCAAGTCCACAGGCACGTAGAACCGCATGCACAGGTAAAACCGCAGCCTTCACCTCCTACTTGCGCGGCGCCATGGCGGCACCGCACCTCAAGGCGCAACAGACGTTAAGCGGGAGGCGGACGCAGGAAACAGCCTGAGCCCGAGCCTTGAGCCAAAATGGCTACGGAAAGAGGAGGAGGAGGAGGAGGAGGAGGAGGAGGAGGAGGAGGAGGAGGAGGAGCAGGAGGAGGAGGAGCATTGGCCGCAGGGCCCGCTCGCGTGGGGGCCTGCGTGCTCTCTGGTGCTCTCTCCGTGGCCCCCTCGCGGTGCGCGGCCGGCGGCCCTTCGAGAGCTCCGCAGCTGGCCGGAGTCGCGTGGCCGAGCGCTGTTCGGGGCTCGAGACGGGGGTCAGTTCAAACAGGGGTCAGCCAGAGGCGCTCGTGCCTCTACACCTTCGGCGATGCTGAAGAAAACCCAAGTTTTCGGCCATAGTTTCGATTATTCTTAACTTTTCAATGTAAATCCTGAGATTTGAATAGACGTTCTGGGTTTTTATTCAAGTTCTTGGGCTATGAGTTTCTTAACCCATGATTTCTAAAGCATTTCGCAGGGTGTACCCTTCGCCCGTTTACCCTTTTGGGGGGCCTCCTGGGAGGCCCTCGTCGCCACCGCTGGATTTGCCTCGAAGTCCCGGTCAGGACGCACCCCGGGAGAAGTCTGGTGAGCTGGTCTCTTCTGGAATGAGGAAGGGCACGGAGAGAAAGGCACGATAGGTATGGGCAGTGCAAACGGGGGTCACTGCAAACTGGATCCTGCAGGATCCTGCGAAGGCCCCCTCTAGCTGACCCGGGTTAACGAGCCGCTCGTGGCCGCGAGGCGGCCGTGCATATTGGCTGACCCGGGTCTGCGAAGTCTTGCGTTGCAGTTTTCGCTTCTTGCATGGCAGTTGTTTCGTTTCTTGCTGACCCAGGTCTGATTGACCCGGGTTAGCAGATCCCCGAGTTGTGATTCTGTCCCCAGGTGCGGGGGGGGGGGCGGCCTTAAAGGAAGGGTCGGGGGCTGCGAATATGGGGGTGATGACAAGGGGGGGGTGGATATCATGGCGTGGGCCATGATATCTCCCCAGACTTCATGGCGCCTCTTCTTATTTCATTACGTCCCTGGCCCCCCCCCTTGGGTCGCGCACGTGCCGCCAGCCATGATTAGCGCCCCCCCCCCCCTCTTGGACGCCCCCCCCACGTGGCCGCCCCCGATAAGGGGTGGGGGGCGAGGGGGTGGGGCCAGGGGGAGGCGGGGCGGGGAGGCGAGGGGGGAGGCTTCTGGGGGGCGGCGGCGGTCTTGTTGGGAACGGGCGAGGGGCGAGGGGCGTGGCCGAAGTGCGGTTCCGCAGTGCGGATTCATGTTTTCCTCGACGGCCCCGCCCGAGGGCCGCTCGCGCCCCGCCCCTCGCCCCGCCCCGCGACCCACGCTGGGCCAGGCCCGCGATCCGACCAGCGACCTGTCCCGTGACCCACCCGTAAGTCGGCCTGTGTTTCTACAGAGGGAGTATTCAAACATGGTCAAAAAATAGTCAGGGTTGGGGGGTATTTTTTCATCTTTTCGCCCCGAATCCGCCTGTAGGCGGGGGAGATGCCCGACCTAAACCCACCCGCATTCCACCCGCGACCCGCCGCCCGAGGCGCCCGCCGACTCCGCCGACGACCCCTCCGCGATCCTCGGGCCCTCCTAGCCGGGGCCAGGGCAGGTGGTGTCGGAGGATCGCGCCGCGTCGCTGATGCGTCGGCGGTGCGGATCGGTGTGGAGCCCGATTCTTACCACGCCGATGCGGCGCCGATGCGTCGGCGATGCGGCGCGGTCCTCCGACCGCATCTGCTCCCCTATTTGGGAGGTCCCCAGACCAACCGACACTATTTTGAGAAACATTCGGCGCCTGCGGCGGGCTCTCGGCGTAAAACAAAATCGACGCCTGCGACGGGCTTCATGTTTACTTTCGAGGTTCGCCAGCTGCGGACGATTCCCGCTCTCACTCTTACTCGCAACTGCGAGCTATGGTAGTGCATGCCTTCTTGCCTTTAGGATGTCTCTGCAGGGGGGAGCTCGAGAGTCTAGCAGGGTTGTCGAAGACAGCGGGGTCTCAAGCTCGGGAAGAGTGCCGCAGGTCTACGTGAAGGCCATGGGGCCAGTGCCGGCGTTCAAAGCCGACTCTCACGCGGCCAAGATCATCCAGATCATCATGTTTGCGACCGACAGCAGCATGGACGCAGTCAAAGATGCGTGCGGCCGCGTCGCGATGGTCATACCAGACGTGCCCATGCTGGGCGCCAGGGAGGCGGTCGCCATCTAGCCAGCTCGATTGGCTGCAGCGCGTTGGCGCCCGCCGCGCTCTCACCGTGGAACCGGTGCCGTGCTCGCTCGCGTTGCGCTCTCTGTTCGCGCTGTGAATTGCCGAAGGAGAAGCACCGGCAGACACACTGACTTTCGGAGGTCCTGGCGGACTTTTTTGGGATGGGCGCTGGACTCCCCTGGCGGTGCCTGCGGCGCCGCCAGAGTGCGCGCTGCGCGCGCCTTGGAGGAGGTGGCAGCAGCAATCCAAGAAGTCCACGCAGGCCTCCGAAAGTTCGTTTTCGCAGGTTGTGTTCTTCTTCTAAGTTGGACCCTTTAGGGTTGTCCAGCGACGCAGTCTACGCCCGGGTTTCACCGGTGCAGATCTGACCGACCCGCAGTGCCTTGTCAGTGCGCGGTCGCGTCCTCGATTCCCTCTCGTAGCTACTCGTAAGAGCCACCGATCCGTCGCCAGAGTGGCCTCCAGTGCACGGCCTTCGGGAGGCGGCGGGGGGCCAAGCTCGACTTCGCAAGCCGCTACCGTCGCATCGCATGCAGCGACGGGCCACCTCGCATCATTCGGGCATGTCCTTCTACAGGGGGGATATTCAATTCCACAAAAGTAGAGCATGGTCAGTCTTTCCTTCAAAATCCGCCTGTAGGAGGACATGCCCGACCTAGCACCAGAGGTCACTCCCCAGACGGCCAGCGTCGTGACTCTTTGATAGCGAGGCTCCCCAGATGTCTGGGCCCCTTTCCGGGGGCTGGTTTTCGCCCCGACCCGTTGGTTTCAGGAGAGGCTCCATTTCAGTCGGGCGTGTCCCTCTACAGGAGGAGTGTTCAAAAGTAGTAAAAGAATAGCCTGGGGACGATTGTTCAACTATTTCCAGTATTTCTGAGTATTTGTTGCGTTAAAAAATCGTCCAAAATCCGCCTGTAGGGGACATGCCCGACCTAAGGCCAAGCCCATACGGAGTAAGTCCATACGGAGTGCTCGGTCGCCGTCTGGGCTGCCAAGCTTTTGCGGAGTCAGTCCGTACGGAGTGCTCGGTCTCCGTGTGGACTTATTCCGTTTAGGTTTCGCCTTTCCCGATTGCTGACGGACCCAGGGCCCAGCAAGCGCCTCCAGACTGGGGCTGAGATCGGACAGAAATCAGGAGGGGAAGAAACACGCAGACACAACTAATCGTCGCTCCCCAGGAACATATGGGAAACTACGGGAAGTGGGGGGGAAGACAGAAACCCAGAACATGTGGGGAAATATGGGGACTATTTTCATTTGTGTGTACTTATCAGTGTTAGGGCGACGATATCTATACATATCCACTGCTCCCGGCCAGGCCAATCCTGGGCCCAAGAGCTGTGTATACGCCCTCCTGGCTTGGCCAGGGAGGCATATACACCACTCCTGGGCCCAGGATGGGCCTGGCCAGGAGCAGTGGATATGCATAGATCTCGTCGCCCTACAGTGTGTCCCAGGGCCCCTTGAAGAGAGCTCCCGCTGCTTCTCTCTCCCCGCGGAGCGAGGAGGTCAGGCCTTCGGCTCCCGCCTCCGGTCTCCTGCGGCCGCTCGGGGACGACCCCCGCGGGCGCCCCGGGAGCGCCCTCGGCGGAGCGCGGCGGGCGGAGCGCCTCCCGAGAGTTCCCCCCTGCCAGGGACGACGTCGACGTTGCCAGGGACGACGTCGACAGCATTCTGGGCAAGTGTCAAGGGACGTCGTCCCTGGCAACGCTCGGACGAGGAGCACTTTGCTCACCTGGTGAAAAAAAAACACGCACGAAGCCGACACATGCACAGGGAGTGGACGTCCGAGCGATGGTTCGAGCGTCGGGAAGGCACCCGGCCCCCGAGGCTCGAGCCCCTCCTCTCTCCGTCTTGCCCAGGGTCGCTCTTGAGCGCAGCCTTGAGTCGGGCCTGTCCCTCTACAGGGGGGATATTCAAACATAGTAAAGAATAGTCAGTTTTTTTTATATATATATATATATATATATATATCATTTTTTTTTTTTTTTGCATATTTCGCCCACATATTTCGCCCAAAGTCCCCCTGTAGGGGGACACGCCCGACCTAAGCGTAGCCAGCTCTCGCCCTCCTCCGCCTGGGTCCCCTACGCCTCCTGATGGGGCAACGTTCGGGGAGGGGGGACAGGCTTAGGGGGGGGTGCATCGACCCCCCCCATCGCCCATTCGTCGCCGATATTCTGCGGCGAGCGGCGGGCCTTCTCAGAAGTCTTGGAAATCCCCCGGCCTTCTGAGAAGTTTTCTGAGTCTTCCCCGAAGACAGAAAAAGCCTCTTAGAAGGCGCGAGGGCTCCTGAGAAGTCGCCTTCTGAGAAGGCCTTCTTCTTATTCTCACCTTCCCCCCTCGCTCGCCGCCGAGATATGGACCTGCTAGCCCCGATCCGCCCAGGAACGTACGGTAGGTTCGCGTCGTGTCGACCGGCGGCGACCCCGCCGGCGGCGTTCAATTTTGAACGCCGCGGGCGACCCAGAACCGCTCGATGCGGAACCATTTGGACGTTTCGGAAACGGCCGATCGTTCAAGGTTGAATGATCCCCGCGGTGTCAGAAACCAACGCCGAAGTCGGCACGACACGAACCTGACGTAAATGGTGCCGCTTCGCGCGCCTCTCGGCTCCAGGTTTTTTAATAGGCCCCCCCCCATTCCATTCCGCCCGACGCCCCGTCCCAGCCCCCAGGAGGAGGAGGAGGAGCAGGAGGAGGAGGAGGAGGAGGAGGAGGAGGAGGAAGAGGAGGAGGAACCTGCCGTACGATTCGCTGTCGGGGGCCTGGCACAGGCCCATCGGCGATGCATCGGCGACTCCAGGCCCACGTTCCCCCCCTCCCCCCGAGCCGGCTCCCCGCTCCCTGTCGCTGCACATCAGCCTCGCAACTCCTCCTCCTCCTCCTCCTCCTTCTCCCCCTCCTCCTCCTCCTCCTCCTCCTCCTGCTCCTCCTCCTCCTCCTCCGCCTGCTCCTCCTTCTCCTCCTCCTCCTGCCCCTCCTCCTCCTCCTCCTCCTCCTCCTCTTCCTCCTCCTCCTCCTCCTCCTCCTCCTCCTCCGCCTTCTCTTCCGCCTCCTCCTCCTCTTCCTCCTCCTTTTCCTCCTCCTCCTCCTCCTCCTCCTCCTCTCCTCCTGCTCGTCTCGCTCTCAGTTGCCGCGGCTCACGGCGGCGGCTGTCTCTCCCCCCTTTCAGGCAGGCCGCGCGCGGTTTTCCGGCTTGCGGAGTGCCCGCCTCGCACGGGCAACAACCGTTTAGGTATCCCGCGTGCCAGCGTCGCGTCTGCGCCTGTGCGCTCATCGGGCGGGGGAGATGGGGTCAGTGCGAGGGGGGCGAGCTGAGACAGCGGCAACCGGCCGTTCGGGGGCCTCCCTCGTCTCCGCGGGGAGGAGGGGGAGGAGGGGGAGGGCCTGGGGCCGACTTCGAAGAACAGCGACATGAGCATAAACCCGCGCGGATTCCTTGGGTCGGCGCTGGCCCTTCCCCCCTGGCGGCGTCTCTGGTGCCGTCCCTATAGTGCGCTCCGCGCGCCAGGGAAGGGTGTCCAGGTCTGATCCCCAAAAGCTCATGCGGACCTGCGACAGTTTATGCGCATGCAGTTCTTGCCGCTACCAGGTCAGGATATCCGGCCAGGCCTCCGCCGACCCGAGCAAGATTGGTGCCGGAGCTTCTGGAGGCACCCCTGTTGCCTCCGGGGGCCCCAGGGTCGCGGGGCCCGTTTCGATCCGATCGGTTCGGTTCGGTGCCGATTCTGGCTTGCCCGATCCGATTCGTTCCTGATTTTCAGGCGATGCGGTGTGGCCCGACGGCCGCATGGTGTCCGCGCGCTTCCTGTCGCAGCCGATCCGAGCCAGTTTCGTCTCCGTGCCGAATGCAGCCAGGTTCGACGGCCCGCAGCCACTGCGGCTCAAGCTGGTGCCTCGAAGCCCTGGGGGCTCCGGCTCGTGTTCACCGAGGGGGCAGGCTCAGGCCCCTTGCTCTTCGACCGGACAAGCCTGTTAACCCTTTTTGTGAGCTCCTGCTGGAGCAGACTCCGTCGAAACGCGCTGCGTGCAAGTCGGATTCCATGGGAGATGACGTGGTCAGAGGACCGTGACGTTCTGGGGGTGCCAGGAGTGTGGGCGCGTACCGAACTGGGCATGCAGGCTGCGATGCCGTTGCGGGACAGAGGTGCCGAGTCACGTGTTGGCGCGGGCCACCTGACGATCGTCAGCGTACTCCTTCTCTTTTTCCTGGTGCTGGCACGAAGCGTGAGGCTAAGCTTGAATCCCATGTGGCAGCGCTCTGCAAGCAGCAGGATGTGGGCAACAACAAGGTCAGCAAGGTGGCGGACAATCCTCGGCAACCGCTGCTGATGGAGGGGATGCCTTATTGCAGACCCACGCTGCCGCGCTCGAGCAGGCCGTCAAAGCGAGCAGGGGCGACGCGATGGGAGACGCCAGAAAACTGCTGGAGACGAAGCTCAAGGAGTGTAGGCACCAGATCGAGGCGAAGAGGTCGACGCTCACCCCGCGAACCGACGTGGGCCACAAGCTGGTTAATGCGACGATGAGAGTGGCCAAGACGGACTATGAGATGGCAGAGCAGGACAAGTTCATTGTTGAGATCATGCCAAGGCGCGAGGATTTGGCGGCCAAGAGGATGGGAGTTCTGAGCGAGGTCCAGAGACAGCAGGAGCTGCTGGTCATGTTTCCACCTGGGGGCCCTGAGCGTAATGTTCGTGCTGTTGCTGGTTTGGGTGTTCCTGCCGAGGCTCCGGAAGGCCAGGAAGCGACCAAACAGATGCTGGAATCGCAGGCCGTCGAAGGGTATGTGATCGTTGTCTTGCTCGTTGTTTTGCCGATCGGCTCGGGCCCTCGCCCCCCCCCCCGGGGAGTAGATCTGGGCTGTTTTTGGGGCCTGTTTCGGGCAGGCGGAGTCTCGCGAGTTGGACGCACTGTTGCAAGCAGTCGCATTAAGCAGAGGTCTGGGACGAGGCCCCCCCCCTTCCCCCCTTCCGCCCAATGTCGAATCGTTGACTGCGAAAACGATCACTGTGCAGAAATTCCCACGAAGATGCAGAGTGAGCAAAGCAGTGGTAGCGCTCTTGGTATAGCAGGCCTGACGGTCAACAAGTACCAGTACCACGTGATGTCCAGACGGAGGGCGCCTTCGCGACCCCTGACACCTCAGAGGCCTTCTGTGGCAAGGACAAGGGCGACGCGAGCGCCATCCTGGAGGCGTCCGCCGCGGCGCGATTCAATCGCCCCAGGAGGTTGGAGCTTCGACGCGGTGGAGGATGGGAGGAGTTGGATCACGTACGGTGGCAGCGTCCAGAATCAATTTGACGATGCCAATGATGAGTATCGCCCAAACGTTGAGCTGCATTCGAACTCGAAGTGTGAGCGGTCAGAATGTCAACGGCCAGGAGATGGGAGTGCACGTCTAGCTGGACATCAGGGCAGCGTTGTGTGGGACCGTCGGCCAGAAGAGCATCGCGTGCGGCGTGCGGAATG